GGATTCCCTATTATCTACTCCTGATCATATGCATCCATCTATCACTGCTGTCATATAGGTGAGATTACCTGGCGCACTCAACCGACAAAGATGAATCATCAGGCGGACATGACAAACCCTAGTTCGTAAAACTGTCGACGCGTGCCATAATTTTCGCATGACGTATGACCTGGCAATATTGTGGGTGACATTGGCCGTTGAAATAAGCAGCTTCGGGGGACGGGAGGGTTGGCCCAATAGATGTGGTACAGGATTGCTAGCGCTGTACATGTATGTCAGTACGGTAGAGGTATGTGAGTATATATGCAGGTATGCAGTACAGATACGTCACTCACACTCGATGAACAACCATCAATAAGTCGCTCTAAACTCCCAACTTGTTTTAATAAAAGACGCGGAACGGAGCAGTGTATACTTTTCCAACGTGCCTGCACTAGATTTGCTCATGAATAGTCTAGGAATGTAATTGTCGAGCGAGAAAGAGAGACAGAAAAAAGGGCAATAGGTTGCCAAAGTCACTCGCTGAGGGCTAACGGTACGACGAACAGATAGCAAATCAGTAATGGAGTCACTGGTGAGTATAAACAGGCACGCAACAGTAGCAGCGACAAAGATGGTCCAAAGGCTACCGGTATATCAGCTCGGTGCGGCTTTTGCCCGCCGAGGGCCATTGGTTAAACAGAATCCACTTACCAAGCCAATAAACTAGTTACGCGGCTACTGGGAATGGCTTGTATTAGACGAGAACGTGATATTATCTGCGAGTTTTATCTTCAGACCCTATACGCCATTAACTATTGTGAGGTGGGGACCGAAAAAGAACGAAGATTACGGCTTGCTCATCGCGATGCCTATTCACAACACAGTTCCCACCATAGTTAGACAGTTAAAAACCGAGAGACGTAAGTTTGTAATGGCTTTTCCTATAGAATTCGGATTGGAGAGTCACCGGTACTTCCACGTGTTATCATTCCTCACATCTCATAGGTCGCCACCTTTAGTATAAGGCGGGATGCTCCCCCGCGTACGTGGAGTCATAACTGCGCATTCCACACATATATACGACTCATACCTGACAAGTTGATCACCTAGATTCACTTCGCTCCCTATGGCCGAACCAGCTATAGTCCGAAAGCATTATATAAGTGAGAGGGGCTAAGCCTGTATTGATTACCACGCGGCACGACAACCGCAGTCTGATTGGCAGCCATTGAACACACTCATCACGGGCCATCGGTATACCCCTCAACGTCTCGTAATACGTGGGAAAACTACGGCGGACAAGAGTCAAGCCCCCGCACCCTGTCACCCATCCACAGAGCAATAAACGGCTAAGTGCCGAGATCGGACTCCCGCGCGCTATAAACGGCTAACTGACGAGATCGGACTCCCGCGCGCTATAAACGGCTAACTGACGAGATCGGACTCCCGCGCGCTGGTGACAAACAGCGGCGGCGACGCGAACATCCGACGCACCGCAGACGACATCGTAAAAGTAACGCGCGGGAACGTGACAATTTGTTTTACGAGCGACACTAAAGCCGCCGCACTCGCACGCGGTGGGAAAACCACCCATGTGGCGGCGAAGCGTTTAAGACGGCGTCCACGTACAATGGAAATGCCTCGGTTACACGCGATATATATATATACACACATACAATGTGTGTGTGCGTGCGTGCGCGCGTGTGTGTGTGTGTGTGTGTGTGTGTGTGTGT